AAGTGCTGTCGAGTCGGTTCCGACCCACAGTGACCCTGAACAGGGTTTCCGAGGCTGTAAATCTTTACAGGAGCAGAAAGTCTCATCTTTCTCCCGCGGAGCAGCTAGTAGTTTCAAACTGCTGGCCTTGTGGTTCGCAGCCCAATTCGTAAACACTACGCTACCAGAGCTCCTTAAAAACATGGAGAAAACATCATGTTTAATAGAATCAAGTACTTAATCATGGGAGATATTTCAAAATCTCTTAAATAAATTTTTCTCTGTAAATAATATTAAAATATATGCTTCAGGGAAAGTTTATGCTCTAGGAATGCTAACAAAAATATAAAATGGCCTTTAGATTTTAATATATAACTAAGTTGTAGATTCCACTATTTATAACTCATTTAACCAATTGCACAGAAATTACTGTTATAGCATCCACTCTGCCAAACATCCACATTTGTAAGCATGATTTTATATCAAAATATTCAATAAGAATTCATGACAACAAATTGCACTTTGCATTTTTCTTGTGATTTAAAGTTCTAGGAAAAGTATCATCCAAATCTAAAATTTGACTTATTGAAGCAGTAACAACTGTCATAAAGAAAAAATTGACAACCATGACAGTTAAATTATACTAATAAACAAAAATAACTTTGGTTTGAACTTGACTAAATTCTGAGTGGTTTACAAGGTTAAGAGCTATTCTACTTCTTCTAAAGTTACCCCACAGAAATAAGTTAACAATGAAAAAGGCATTCTAACCTGTTTTAGTTAATCTTACCAATAAAGACGATGAGCAACTTGGATGCTCTGGAGTGAGCGGTGTAGGAGGAGTTGCACCAAAGGACTTTCAAGGTTCCATTCAAACTTAATAGCCTGAAATAAGAAAGAGTGTTTCCTTCTGTTTCTAATTACTTTACTTTCTAAAAATAGTATGTTGTTATTAAGTTCTGTCAAGTTGGTTCTGACTCATAGCGACCCTGTATAGTCATACCATGATGCTTAAAAATAATATATTCTTTAATATGTTTTACAAATTGTTGTAAAACTATAGGTATCACATTTGCCAATTCTTTTTCTTATGTACAATTCAGTAAAGGAAATTAAATTCATAATATTATGTATTCATCGCCAACATCCATTGCCACATTTTTCATTTCTATAAACAGAAACTCAATGAATCTAACAGACATTCCCTCTTTTCCCCTTTTATTCTGCCCCTGGTAACACTGTTAAACTCTGACCTCTATACAACAGCCTAGTTCAAGTGTTTCGCATTATTGAGATCATATAATATTTTTCTTCTTGTGATTGATTTATTTTATGTGGCATGTTTTCAGGATTCATTCATGTTGTGGCATGTACCAGGATTTCCTTTCTCTTTATGGCAGTAACATTCGATTGTCTGTATATACCATACTTTGTTTACCTACTTATCTGTTGATAGGCCTTTAGTAATTTTTACCATGGCTACAAGAATCCTGTCACAACAAACAGCTTGTTTGGATTATAAAAATGATGTTGTTTGGTATAAAAAATAGGTGTTTGGCCCAACTGGAGAAAAAATTAGTATAGATTCGAAACCTTAGCAGAAATTGTTGTTTAGGTGCCATTGAGTTGGTTATGAATCATAGCGACCCTGTGTATAACAGAAGGAAACACTGCCTGGTCCTGTGCCATCCTCACAAGTGCAGTTACATTTGAACACATTGTGCTGCCACTGTGCCAAACCATTTCATGGGTGGTCTTCCTCTTTAACCCTGATCCTCCATTTTACCAGGCATGATGTCTTTCTCCAGGGACTGGTCCCTCCTGGCAACATGTCTGAAGTATGAGTCTCACCCTCCTGGCTTCTAAGAAGCATTCTTGCTATACTTCTTCCAACATTGTTTATTTTGCTGGCAGTCCATAGTACCTTCAATATTCTTCTTCATTACCATAACTCAAATGCATCCATATGGTCTTCTTTATCCATCGTCCAACTTTCACATGCATATGAAACTACTGAAAATATCATGACTTGGATCAGGAAGACCTTAGTCCTCAAACTGACAACTTTATTCTTTGAAACTTTAAAGAGGTCTTGTGCAGCAGATTTGCCTAATGCAATGTATCATTTGATTTCTTGACTGTTGTTTCCATGAGTGTTGATTGTGGATCAAAGGTAAATGAAGTCTTTGACAAATTAAATATTTTCTCCCTTAATCATGATGCTATTTATTGGTCCAATTGTGAGGATTTGTTTTAGTTACAATGTTATGGATGCATCCTGAAGACTGTAGACTTTGATCTTCATCAAATATGTATTTTAAATTCTCCTGGAGCAAGCAAGCAAGCTTGTATCATTACATATTGCAGGTTGTTAATGAGTCTCCCTTCAATCCCGATATCACTTTTTCTTTCATATAATCCAACTTCTTGGATTATTTTCTCAGTATACAGATTGAAAAAAGAATACAACCTTGGTGCACACCTTTCCTGTTCTGTTTGAATGACTGCCTCTTGGTTCCTCAAGAATACAATTAAGTAGTTTGGACTACTCATTCTTTACAATATTATCTTTTGCTTGGCATGATCCACAGAGCATTTGCATAGTCAATAAAGCACAAATAAACATATTTCCAGTGTTCTCTGCTTTCAGCCATGATCCCGCTGACGTCAGCAATGATATCCCTCACTCTGTGTCCTCTTTGTTGTCTCCTCCACGTCCTGATTTGCCACCACAACCCATTTCCAAATTATTTCCATTATCTCCATTATGAATTACTATCCAAGCTGTTACAGAGTACCTAGCTTGATAGAAAACATCAAGATAACCTGAAATCCCTAAGGAATGTACGCAGACCTCCATCCACATCCTGTGGGTACTTCACTATCAGCAACCAGTACCCCAAACACCATCATCTCAGGAATCTCAATGTTTTGAAGATGAAAAAGATTCTCCTCATAAAAGTTCTTATATCCGGTTCAGAAATAAAGCTTCTATCTTTAGTTTCTCAATAAGCTATTTAAATTTCTCTCTTTCTGTAACACACACAAATTATTTAAATCAGGTTTTGTATGACTGTTCAGACTACAGATAAAAGTAGATGTATTCATTCACATACTCACCTGAAGAAATACTTTAATATGCTAACCAACTTCAGGCATGGGAAAGCTTATAAATGTGAGGTGCTTGGTGTGGCGCTGCGGGTTAATGCGCTGGACTGCAAGGTCAGTTTGAATCATAAGGTCAGTGATTCAAGCTCACCAGCCAGTCCCTGGAAACTCTGTACAGGTTTGCTGTGAATTGGAACTGACTTGACGGCACTTAACAACAACCACAACCAAGAACTGGAGAAAATTGGCATATACTCCTGATGTTATCTGAATGCTTAAAGACTGTAACGTGTGCTGTGTCTTTCATCTTTCATTTATCTACTAATGCTGGACTGACTAGGTCATTTTTTTTTTTTTTTTTATACTCTAAAGTTAAGTATATCATGTGAATGAGCATAGAAGCAGGAGGTATTTCTCAAAATTTATTTCCCTGCTTCTTTATAGATTTCTAATTTGTTATTTCTTCTTGAATCCAATGACTATTCATCAGTATTCTCAGTGTCAAGCTCATTGGTTCAGATTGAGACTTTCAAATGGATTTAAACTATGTAAACTTTGGTAAAAACTTCCTTTTAATTTGGGTTGAATATGGGTTGGATTAGCTCATACCCATGAGACATGAGATGATAGTCATGCCACAAATTGAATTCACTTTATTTTCACTACAGTATCCACTATACATGGAGTCCTGGTGTGGTGCTGTGGGTTAATGCGCCAGACTGCAAAGCTGTTTGAACTGCAAGGTTGGCAGTTCAAGCTCACCAGTCACTCCTAGGAAACCCTATATAGGGTCGCTATGGGTCAGAACTAACTTGATGGCACTTAACAACAATAATATCCATTATACAGATGTCATTTTGCC